TCCCCCCCTTCCTTCTCGGCTCCTTTCTTGGGCTCTGCACCAAAGCCATAGGAGCTGTGGTCCGGGAGTCCCCGCCACCCCCTGCCAGCCTCGGGCACCGTGTCTTGGTGCCAAGGAGGGCACCCCCACTGCCCGTCTCCCAGGCCCAGGCCTGGCAGGTGTTGACCGGCACTGGGCCCGCCAAGGCCAGGGTGTGCCAGGGGCTGGGGCAGAGAACAGGGTAGGACTTGGTGAAGGGGACTCTTGAGTGTCAGATGCTCTGGGTCGCAGAGCAGGGATGGAGGTGAACTGCCCCCCACTCCTGCCCCAGCCCAGCAGGGCTGTTCAGAGGAGGCTGCGCCCCTCCCCTTTGCTCTGTGGGTGTCCCCCGAGCTCCACCTGCAGGTGGGGGAAACCCAGGAAGAGGAGCTTGGCCTCTGGGGTGTCTGGCTGGTGGGAGGAGCTGGGCTGGTCCACGCTGGCGCCACTGGTCAGAGGGCAGATGGCTTTAGGGTCTTGTTCTGGGCTCTTCCCTCCACCAGCCCCGCCCGAGGCCAGACTTGGAAGTCAGGAGGGGCCGTGAGGAGCGGCTGCCATGCAGAGGGCGGGCCCTGAAGCACCTGTCAGACCCTATGCTTGTGTGTGTGTATGGGGGGGGGGTCCTCGGCTCTGGGAGAGCCAGCTCCAGGCAGATGTAGGACGTGTCCCCCCATGTCTGCCCCACCCCCAGATGGGCCTCAGAGGAGAGAAACCCCCTGCACACCCCTTCCCCGGGTAGTTCTCCCCTCCGAAGTCTCCCGGTACCTTCACGGCGATGCGCCAGTCCCCACCTCAGATGGCTTTTGTCCCAGTGGGGCCAGCCTGGGAGTGAGGGCACCCACTCCGGGTATTGGGATCCAAGGTTTTTGGAGGCAGGAGTAGATGTCCCCCATGACCTTCAGAAGTCCCAGAGTCTAGGAGTTGGGGCCGGTCTCCTCGGGAAGAGGCCAGGGGCTTGGCGGGCGGTGGCCCCCGGCAGGACCGCGTCCTCAGGCAGGGTGGGATGTGCCTGCCCACCCAGCCGCCTCTCCGGCTGTTTCTATTTGTCCTTCTTTGCGCCCACAGCCCTGTGTCCCTGTCATGCCTCCTTTAAGCGGAAGTCCTGTTCCTGTTCTCTCTGTCCCCACCCTGATCCCCAAGAAATAAGCTATCATTGTTGTATTTGCAATCTATGGATTAGAGGTTTAAGTATTTATTATTATTGGTTATTTACTATTATTGTTGATTATGTAAATTTGCCTCCTGTTTGTCTGTCGGGTTGGGTTTCTGAGGTGATGCTGCTGCGGAGGATGCACTGGCCCCCCCTCCGCGCCCCACCCCTGTGCTGTCCAGGAGACAGTGGTCTGGGCCACTGGTTGGGCCCGGCGCTCTGGAGGCGGGCCCGGCGGCCGGTCCTCCCCTCCCTCGCCCTTACTGCAGGCTGCAGCAACTCTCACGGCTTCTGTCCTGGAGGGCAGGGGGGCTCTTGCTCTTGAGGCGCTGGTCACCCCAAAGTGAGCAGCTGCAATGCAGGAGAAGGTCCCCTTGTGTGCTGGAGGGGGGGCCCTCCCTGGTCATTTCCACCCCCTGCTCCAGGCAGGGAGGGGGGGGCCTCAGTCCTCTCTACCCTCCTGCCCGGCCCCCCACCCCTACGCCCTGGCCTTGGGATGGCCCCAGAATGGATCGGCCCCCTCCTGTTATCTGCTGGAAAGTCCAGCAGCGTTAGACGCGGCAGGTCTCCCCCTGCACGGCTCCCAGTCTCTCTGGACTGGGCCGGCTGCCCACCGCCCCTGCCTCAGACCCCCTGCCTCAGCGCGGCCACACTCTCTGCTCCTGCCCTGTCCCCTTCTTTTGTATTTGGAAAAACCGTGTTGTAATAAATCCTGAGATGGATGTTTTCTCCGAGCCTCTGGCTGCCTCTTTCATCAGGCTGGCGGTGGGAGGGCGGGGAGGGCTCCTGGAGGCCCCTCTGAGGCCCGGAGGCTGGGGTGCTGGGCCTGGAAAGCTGGATTGCCCGGACCCTAGAGGGCAGAGGGCAGAGGGTGGGTCGGGCAGGGTGGGGCATCACTGGAGGGGGGCAGGGTGTGGAGAGGGCCAGGCGCGCACCTCCGCTGCGCCCCCCGATGGAGAACCTCGGTACTGCGGGGGAAGCCTTAACTAGCTTAGAACCACATAAAATAAACTTAGAACCACATAAAATAAAAACTCAGTTTGCCCTTCAGCTGCCCCTGCCCCGCTCCCCAGGAGTGACCCCTGGGCGTGACTGGAGGCAGGCGCCTCGTGTCCCACGTGGGCACATTCCTTTCATCAGAAATGGGGTCCAGCTATCTAGGGTCTGCAGCCCCCTTTTTAAACAGTATGTACGTGACTTATCAAAATAACATGTTCACATGGTACCAGGGCCTCTGGTGTTGCCCCCACCAGCGTCCCCAGCACTGGGTTCCTCTCTCCGGAGGCAGCCCCGGGCCGCCTGGGGATTCCTACGCTGCTCTCCCAGGACGGGCTTTCAGACAGGCCTGCCCTGGGTCACTCCCAAGTTTGCCTGGCGGTTACCATAACAGGGCTCCTATGCTGGACACCCACTGTGTGCCCGGCACCCCTCCAGGTATTTCCCAGGCAGCGCCAAACAGGCCTGCGCCTTTGACCCCATGTCCTGCAGCAAATACCGCAGGAGACCTCAGAGGGGCCTGACCTTGGAGGCTTGGCTGCTTCTCCTAGGACCCTTCCCGCTTTCCGAGCAGGCCAGGCTGGCAGCCCACACCAGCGACGCCGACCAGGCCCGTGTGCGCACGTGTGTCTGTGAGAGCACGTGCGAACGGGTCGGCGTACACACATCGGGGCTGCGGGAGGAGCCCGGGTCCTTGAATCCTGCATCCTTGAGAGTTCTCGGAGGCTGGAAGCTAGAAACACGGCTGGCTCCAGCGGAGCTATTTTTAGCTCAAGAACATCTATTTATAACTCTGGCAGCCCCTTGGAGTCAATAAAAGGAGAACTGGAAAAAGCTGGTGGCTGCCTCCAGCAGCAGGGAGGTGCTCCCCCACCCCTAATGCTCCTGAGTACCTGCGGCTGTGGGTGGTGGGGTGACCCCCTGGGGGGCAGATGGCCTTGGACCCTGGGGCAGTGTAAGACTGAGTGGGGGTGGGGATCACTGACCGAGTCCACCAGGCGCCTGGAGGTCGGCTGGTCCAAGGCCTACACCGAGCAGGTAGTCAGGCAGGCAGCCCACTGGAACCTGGTGGGCTGGCCTCCACCTGTTCCGGCCCCCACACTGTCCTAGCGTGACACGGGGTCTCGGGAACACTGGGCACCCCTGCTTCCGCCTCTGTGTCTGCCCCACTGCAGGCCAGGAGCCGTAGGTGCTTTAGGGTTCGGGGGGTGGGTAGAGGGTGGGTACAGGGCTGTGTTGTGTGGGACCCGGCATGTTGATGGTGATGCTACTGTTTAGGAGGCCTGGGTCACTCTCCTGGGTTCCCCCACAGCCGTTGCCCCAACCAGAGCCAGTGCTGCGGCTGCCGGCCCCGCGGTTCTTACTATGACTACAAGACAAACCTCAGCACNATGTTGATGGTGATGCTACTGTTTAGGAGGCCTGGGTCACTCTCCTGGGTTCCCCCACGGCCGTTGCCCCAACCAGAGCCAGTGCTGCGGCTGCCGGCCCCGCGGTTCTTACTATGACTACAAGACAAACCTCAGCACCAGCTGTCGGGGAAGTTTGAAAACACAGGTTTATTAGGTCCGGAGGGTCCACCTGGAGCCCAGGGCCACACAGTGAGGCGGACGGGGCAGCATGGCCGGGGCTCTGCCTTTATTGGGGTCAAGGGTGGGTGCCTAGGGTTTCGCAGGTTCACTCCTTATTGGCAAAGTTAAAACACAAGGGCAGGAATTAAGGTTCAGGAGGGAAAAGCAGGGTTACTCAGGGCTTCAAGGTTGGGGTGGCCGGTGGAGCCGGCCATGTGTTTACGGGTGATGGATGCCTTTGAGATGGGGCCTCAGCAACCAGAAGCTTCATGTCAGGCACTTACACTAAACGTGTGGGTGGGTAGACGGCAGAGTGAGCGGGTGGGTGGATGGGAAGGAGGGTGGGTAGACGGATGGACGGGCGGGTAAGTGTTGGGTGGGTGAC